ATTTCTTGCGCATATTGTGCATATTTTTGCTTTTATTAGTAGCAATCATTTAAATTTGGTGCGAAATCTCTTCACAAAAAAACTTCCTATAATTCATTCCCAAATATTCATCTGAATATCTTCTCGGATAGCCAAGCGGCCAATAATGCACTCTCTTCTAGCTCTGTTAGATCTCAACTAGTGGAGGACTGTAGGGGCGAGCTGCCCTACATCTCTGATCAATTCGAAGTTATCCTAATATGGGTCCCGAGACATAGGGACCTTTACGTTAACGAGGCAGCGGACGAACTAGCAAGGTGCGGCTCCGCACTGAATGTACCCCACGCAAAAATTACCGAAATTTATCTCTTGAAGGCCAAGTACAGGTGGAACCGTACATGATCGTACAGGATTAACCGGTAGTACCTACAAACTAACTGCAGTGTGCACAGGATACTGGCCCGTTGGAGTACATGCAGAAAGGATTGGATTACCATTCAACAGGCTCTGTCGCAGTTGCGATGACCTTGGCTCAAAAGAGACAGTCGCACACTTCCTGTACGAGTTTCCAGCCCTCGCAAGGGTAAGGCTTAAAACACTCGGCAAGCCATTCTTGCAGAATGTTTTAGAGGGCAGCTGCCTCTCTCTGTATGACGTACTGAAATTCATTGAAGCCGCCAAATGGTTGTAGGTGGCATACTTGCTAATTGCATGCCATTAGGGTGATAAACCAACTCAACCACTCAAACATTCATCTGAGCCACTGTCAAACTATAAATGTTTCCATTTACAAAAGATTGTAACTTTCAGCTTGATTATAAACTAATTTTATATACATATAAATATGTATTGTATTTTGATGTGAATTGGTTTCGTTATTTTCTTGTTAAAATAAAAATATTAGGCAATAAAGTATTAGGAAAATATTTGAATTGCCTATTTTACTTGTTTAAAGCGCATATTTTTGAATTTTGAGTGCATAAGATTCCGAGCCCTAAACATACTAACTATCAGAACAAAATAATAAAAGGTTATGGAGTTGGCTGAGGAGCAACCTAGCGGGATGCACAAGATGCGAAGAAAACCAAAAATTTGGCATTGAAATGGAGTTGCAAAGAAAAACAGATATCGCGAAAGTATAAAAAAATACTGAAGCTTTAATGGAGCAATGAGAGATGGGTCGAGGAATATGGCTAGACAAAGAAGAGGAGCAAGGAGCCAGGAGCCTGAACTAATATATATGTAAGTGTGTATAGCTAAATGTTAAGAAAGCAAATAAAGAAAATGTTGCTATTGAGTATCGGAAATACATACATATGTAAGTGAATTTGGCCGCTTCGACCAAACAAATCTAAACTTATTTACACGCACATATGCACCCACACACATAAACACAATTATGTGGCTACCCAACAAACATTGGAACAAACATTTTCAAACGTTTGAGAAAATCTTATTTCTCAATTTGATTTTCAGTATTGTTTATCACTTGAAACTAGCATTTCGTTCCGTTCCATCTGTGTCAACAATGCAAAGATGTCGTAGTCTATCGGTGGTCTGCTACATCATTCGCAAAATGGCTCCTCGACCACGTGGTTGCTGTTATTCGAAATTTGTCTGTCGGAAAATTGATCCTCGTCCGAGTGAATTGAGATGGATTTAATTTATTAATTTTAGTGAACAGTTTTTGATAATATTATTTTGTGATTGATCGTTTTGTGCCTCATCTGCCGTCATAAGCTACTGACTGGCCATTAAAACTTAAAACCGAAAGAAGGAAATAGTCTGATGCATCGATAGTGGCCAACAATTTGTCTGCTTAAAATGAAATGATATTTTTATGTTAAAAAAAAAAGTTTATATATGTGTACGTATTATAAAGGGCTTATGCTCTATTGAAAATGCAATAAATCCAACAAAAAATTCTTTTTCTATAAAAACAGTGTATTTCTTTTACATGCATCACGGCATCACTATACAAATATGTCAATTATTATTATATTATTTTTTTTGAAAATAAATTCTATATTAAAAATGTGCATTTTAATCTGAGAACGCTATCAACGGTTATTTGAGATGCATTTGAGAAGCAAAGTTTGATATTTGAGAAAAGGACTTATTCTCAAATGCATCTCAAATTGAGATTTATTAAAAATGTTTACGGGGTATGTTCATGAAAGCGCATAAAAACTATATATGTACGTATGTACATACGTAATGTACAGGCAAAGAATCGTACACACCAATATGCATGCATACGTATTTTTACTCGCTCTGTGCAATTGCACTGCAACCGGCTTCTTCATGAAGTGTTTTTTTTTTTTGTGTAATTTTTTTCTTTTGTATCCAAGAGATACAAAACAAGTCGCGGTTACTGCAGTAAAGCGCTCGTTCAGTCAGCCGGTCGCTATTTTGTTGTTGTTGCTTAAACACATGTTCGCCTGCATACAGTACATAAAAATATACCTAGGTACATATGTACATATGTGCATATGTATATATGCGCAATCAGCTGCAATTGTGCATTGCGAGCTGAGAGCTAAAATGGTCCAGAAAAGCGTATAGCTACTTATAGACAGACGCACGCACAATGCAGTGTTTCGAACTTGAATAAAGCGGAGGAAGCGCGGACAAAGAAATATTTACAGATTTTCACACGAGTGTTTATAAGCCTGCAAAGAGCTACTTTAGTAGGGAAAGTGTCACACTGCTAATGGAGAATAAAAGCTTACTGCATATTTCTACAAAATTTGCTTAAAACGTCCAAAAATCACTTTAATCATGGATCTATATTTAATGAAACAATTGTCGATTTTCCACAGCGAGCTACTAATACAAAATTTCATTATATGTGACCTGGTCTACGGAAAGGGGGCTTAGGTGTCAAAAAATCAATTTTCACTTTTTGGTTAATTCGGATGGAAGATGAGATGCTTTTCCACGTGGTGAAAAGCAGAAAATCCTAACTTGCTTAGAAGTGTACTAAAAATGTAGAGAATGAAGAGTAAAAATACGACAAAATATAATTTATTGGTAATGAACAAAATACAATGAATTATAAGCTATAAAGACATGATTATACACTAGAAAAACGTTATGAACCAAAAATAATAATGCTGAGTAGTTTATGTATTTTTCTTTGTTGTCGTTTTCCTTGAGATCTTTTTACGTGTTGATCCTGAGGAAGATGGACCTGGTTCCTCGTCTGGTTTGAGAACATCTTCACTAGTTTTTGCCTTCCGTTTCTTCGATGGCAAATCTTTCGGCAATGGAGCCACAATATCTACTTTAGATATATCCGAAACTAAGCTGCGAAGATTGTGATAGATGTACCACTGACGTTCCAAAGATAAACCGGCTGGTTGTATAACTTTCGGCATTTCAGGATCGATAGGTTTTAACAGAAGCTTAAAGGACTGTACTTCTTCACTGTCTGCGAATTTCTTTGTTTTTACACAATCTGTAGAGATTATGAAATGATGGAATTGCGTTATTCCAACAAGTGACTTGTACAGTGGTTTAAAATAGCTGTCCCATTCATACCAGACGACTTTTTCAGCCGATACAGCTTTATTATAACCCCCAGCATACGTCTGCATACGTGTCGATGTTACTGACGGCATACTTACTTTTGAAAATACCGAAGTAACGATCAGGCGCGAACTTAGTGTGCTCGGTAAGTAGAAAATTGAATAAAATAGTTTTGTTAAGACCCCGAGCCAAACACCATTGCAGATATGATAGTACAGTGTTATTCTTATTCTGCCCAACACAATTGTCACAGAAAAGAACGAGTGTTTCAATGTCTTTATAGTAGGTTTGCAGGTGATAATGCAGGATGCTCACAACACAGTTAGGTCCTTTACCAACGTCATCTTTTTCGTCTATCATGTAATTGTACTGTAAAAAAAAAAATATA